GTGGGGTAGAAATCTGAGGGTCTTTGTTGGCCACCTCCCCCTTTATTTTCTCATTGTATGGTACTTGTTTTATAAGTTACTGGTAAAGACGTGTGATTGTAGTGTTGTATGTGTTTTTATCAAGTGTATGTTAATAAAGTGACTTGTTTATACCCATTATTATTATGCTCACCCTGCCTTTGGCAATGAACCTGTGTCCCTTTGTTTAGGGCTGTTATGTCCCGGTGTATTCTGGGTGGCGTAGTCGACTATAGGATTTCTCTTATTATTGGTAATATCCCAAACTTCTGACCACTTACTGCCACACAACTAAACCTCCAGATTCTGAGTTGCTGAATTTAATATAAAGTTTAATAGCCTCATTGAGAAACTCAATGCGAGGGTTAAATGAAATGATTGATGGTTGTTCAGGTCTAATCAATAGCATATATTGCTATAAATGGGGGATTTCACATTTTCACTCTCCTAAACTCATTCTTTCCTAACTTTCTCTCTTTTTACAACTTGTGTGAGTGCGTGTGTTTACGTGTTAGTTTGTCTTCCAATAAAGTCTTGTTCGTTTGAAAAGAGAAGTATCTTTGTGTTTTGTGCTTACAAATTAATGTCTTAAACTGTTGATCTTCTTACCGTACTAATAGTGTTTTCACTATATTTCGGTTATTATATTAATATCCGTTGCAGAGTTCATGTTACACGGCTAGTTCAATTGACTGCTGGCCGATACAGTTGATCAGCCGTAAAACGGATTCTGTCAAAATTCCCTATAAATATCATAATTAATTCCCTTTGAGCTAAATGTACCTGTTTCCCTTACAACACTAAAAGCGCACATTCAATACAATTATGTGCACTTCTTTTTACACAAAAAAGATACTATACTGTGCATATACTGTCTTAGCTATTTTGTAGTTGGCTACTTTTTGTTAGTATATTGAGTATAGTCCTCCAGTACCTTCAGATTTATAGCTAACTGCTTTCAAATATGAGTAGTTAATTGCTAGTTGCTTCAAGCTACTGTTGAGTAGCTAGCTGAAGTATCTTCCCCAAAACCTATAGTGATATTAGTATGATTGTTGTTATTGAAAATGTGATCACAATTTTAATTGAATATATTGCGTACACACAAATGAATGAATTCAGCTGAACATGAAACAATGGAGAATTGTTTCAAAGTGGTTTGTTTTTGAATGGTGAATGTTTGGAATGTCCTATGCTAAGCTGAATACAGACAAACTGTCACACCTGTCTTCCACAATTCCATGGCGCGGCACCCCTGTGCTTATCAGCCCCCTTTCCATGCCTGGTTTCCATGGCAACGCTAGTAAGAAGTGAAGAGGTTTCTCAGCTCCCTAACCACCCGGGTCTTGCTTTTAAAAGCTGGAATATTCTTGCAGTACCACCACCAGTGCTGGAAATGTTCAGCTAATGTTTTACAGTGGGTGCACTGGTTGAGATGCCTGCTATTATGTTGTCTGTTTTTTCAGCCACATTTGCAGATCCCTGTGAGGTTTTCAGGTGAGTGGACAGCCATACGGTTCTCAGTGACAAGGCGTGGGTAGATAAAAAAAAAAAAAAAAGGTAATTCATATTAGAACTAAAACTTCCATGAATGCGCAAATAATTGTTAATCATCCAAAGAAGCACAACATGATCTCTCAATGGTTTTAAAGTCTCATACAATTGATCAATTGATGCAGTATTTTGCTGCATCCAACAACTAATTCAACTATTTTCACAAAAAAGGGTGCAAAACTCTCAAAAAAGAGAAAGGTTTTCTTTTCTTTTTCTATAAATGGTTGGTTTTAACCTATAAGCTGTCAGTCAGTAGATGTGTAAGGGTGGTTTCCCTACAGTGGTTCAGGCTGTAGGATTGCTGAATGACTAAAGACACATTATCAGCACAGTGGTATAATACTGTACATTTATACATAATACCAACAACGGAAATAAGCACAGTTAGAACAGCCAAATATGTGGGAGAGAGTTGCTATTATGTGACTATATTGTATTGCAATAGGTAGTGTTTAATGTTAATGTTAAATTGAGACTTGTTAGCACATAATTTATAATTGAAATGGTTTAATAACGGTGTTTCATTATGGTTACACTTGAATTGGTTACAAAACAGATGAAGGATGCTAAAACATAGTTAATTTTACCCAGCATGTATGTAAAATGTTACCTCAGACAGAGAGAGAGAGAGAGAGAGAGATGAGCCCCAAGAAAAGAGACAGAGCAACAGTTACGATCTTATTTTATCCCTTACTTGATCATGTGACTAAAAACCCAAATGTGAGACATTCAAACTAACCAATCAGCAAATTACAGCTTTCCCCACTGTGCTAAGTATGTGACAAACATGTTGGCCTACAGGCCTTGATCACAATCAGTACCTCTAATACACAATTAATGGTACCCTTAGAAATTCTTATGAGTAAAATATCTCTGAAGTATAT